CGCGGCCGCCCGCGCCCGCCGGCTGCCGGACTCGCTTCTCCGCCCCGGCCTCCAGCGCGGCGTACTCGGTGCCGCTGGGCTCCCTGCACTTCTCCACGTTCGAGGACAGCGCCCTGGCGGCGATGATGGCGCCGAAGAACTTGTCGCCGTCGCTGCCCGGGGGCCTCTTGCAGCCCGGGTCGGAGGAGAATAGCAAAACGTCACCCCGATCCCACAGAAGCGACGGAGAATTTTCCCCCCGTTCCCATTACAGTGACTCGGATGAGGCCAGTTAGGAAAGTTGAAAAGTTCACAGCCCCGCGGTGAACGATCCCGCACCCTCCACGATGATGGTTTTAACTTGGGATAAGTGTAGTTGGTTTTGCTCTCCGACGGTCGTTGGTTAGCCACGACTTGGCTTCGTAAGGCAGCTACGATGGGGTGGCTGGCAAAGGCGATTCCAAACCCCCCCCCCACCAGCCCCTAATTGCTTGTTGGAAACTTGCTGATAAAAATTTCGCCTCTCCCGCCCGCCCGGGGATGGTCCTCCTGGTAGCTAGACGCCCCTGGGCATGCCGAAGTGTACCCGGCACCGTTCATCGTCCCTGCTGCCAATGCCCTGCGGAAACCCCTCGTGGCCCTGTTGCCAGATAACTGGGTTGACTTTCTACCTGTGTCCTGGCTATCCATCCCTGTGTGTTGCGCGTGCCCATGGATGGAAGCGCTGGTCTTCCAACGCTCATCTCCCCACCCACCACCACCTCCCACCACCAAAAGCGTTCTGTAAGTCAAAGTCAATGCTCTCCCAATAGAGTAGCTAGCGTATGGCCATGAAGCTGTTGGGGAAAAAAAAAAAAAAAAAAAACCAGGGTTTCCCAAAGGTATGAACATAACCCACATCCAAACGCGAGAACCGTGGCTTCTTGCAGGAAACTTGGCGCACGCACTTTATCAGTTGCTGCTGCTTCGGCTCCAGGAGAAACTCAACTGCCAATTGCAGACACGTGGTTTTTTTTAATTATTATTATTATTGTTATTATTATTGTTTTAAGCTCAGCCACTTACCGCCTATGAACTTTTTTTGGCAAATGTGTCGTTTTTTTTTCAATAAAAATTAAGAGAACACATGTAGTAGTGTCAAAAAAACATTTGGTCGATTTTATTTTGCTTCGGTAATGTTAGAAAATTTATTTATTATTGAGTGGTACCATTTCTACTTACCTTGATTTGTTGGGTTCTTTTCTTTTTTAACGTTTTCTACTTAAGATCATTTTATTTTAATTTAGCCAACTGCTATTGTTTTATGTATTTCCTTTTGCAAATAATAGAATAAACTTGAAAAATTCTTTGTGATTTGTCCCTTATTCCATATTAGAATATCACAGTCAACGTGACCTTGCACACTTGAGGTATTAAATGCAACTGTATTGGATGGAATGGTTTTAAAGAAGAATGTTGTATAACCATTGTCTTCCCAGTGCCAGGAACTACATAGTGCGAATGCTCTCCAGCCCATAGTTAAATGGTAAGATAAAACTTTCCCCAAATTTGCATAGTTTTGCCTCTTCAACAGATGGGGTCTTCTAGTCTTCATTATTTCTAGCATCAGCAATGGTGTCTTTGGTCCTCTAGATAAGTCACTAGTTAATTTTATCAGGATTAAATATTTTTAAGCATGAAAACTTGCCAAGCTGAAAACAGTTCGCATAAATCAAATACACAGCACAAGTCACCGACTCTGACTCTCTCTCTCTCTCTCTCTCTCTCTCTCTCTCTCTCTCTCTCTCTCTCTCTCTCTCTCTCTCCTCTCTCCTACTCTTCCTCTCCTCATCCCTCTGCCAGGTCTTTCTTGCTCTCACTTTTTTTGGAAGAACACATTTCCTTGAAAGGGAAAAAAGGAAATTGGTAATGATCAGTTCAAGCGTTAGAAGCCCACTCCATTCTCTAGGAAATTGCCAACCTCCACTCAATTTCTCTTTCCAAGCTATTCGGCTTCTTCCAATATACAAGCTTTAGCTTGTATATTATCTTGCTCCTCTGGGTTAGCTCCTATCTAGAAAAACCCAACGTGCATTTATAAATTTATGTGGAAATTCTTACTAAGGACAAGTTTATTCTGGGTCTCGGGATCATAGATCTTAGAAAAGCTAACACTTCATATACAGAGAGCAGAAACTGGAGTTTTAAACATATATTTAATTAACAACAGAGTAGAACTACTTCTTAAACGAAAAGTTTGGCCACATTCCACTAGAAAAAATGTTTAAAGAAGGAACGGAGGGAGGAAGGAGGGAGGGAAGGAATGAAGGAACGGAGGGAGGAAGGAGGGAGGGAGGGAGGGAGGGAAAGGAAAGAGGAAGGAGAAAAGAAAGGAAGGAAGGAAGAAAGAAAGAAAGAAAGAAAGAAAGAAAGAAAGAAAGAAAGAAAGAAAGAAAGGGAGAGAGAGGAAGGAAAGAAGGAAGGAAAGGAAAGGAGAGAAAGAAGCCGCTTGGGGAAAGTCGTTTGCTCGGGCTAGGCATCCTCCTGTCAGCACCTTGGGAAAAGGAGAGCTCCCCGGGATCGTAGTTGTGGGGCGAGCTGGGTTTGTTCACGGGGAAGGCGACTTGGATGCGCCGGTTCTGCTCTGGAGAAGGGAAGCTCAGAAGGTTCCACTGAGCACCCGAGTTTCCCCGGCTTCAGCTGAAGTTATCAAGGAAAGCTGAGCTCTGCGAAGCGGTGGCTCCAGACACGTTCCAGGAGCAGAAACCGGGCACCTGTCCTTCAGATAACCTTTTGCACCCGGCAAGTTTGCTGTGGTCTGATAAGCATCTTGAAACTTTGGGCTGATGAATAAATCAAGTGACTACTTCTAACACATTTCCAGTTTGTTTTCAATAAGCATACCCAATGGGTATATGCTGCTAGGTGAAGAGCAGGGAGAGAGAGAGAGAGATACAGAGACAGAGAGAGAGAGAGAGACAGAGACAGAGACGGAATTCTTTTCTGTTAGGAGTCTCAGTAGAAGAAGGACAAGAGGAAGAAAAATGTAGTTTTTTTTTCAAAGAAAACAATATTTAAACTTTCAAAACTATGATCATTTTCTTACCCACCAAAAATAAGAATTCATCATATTTATTACTTTTCATCAACACAGAGAAACCCTAAAACAGTTAGGACATCACGAATCCCCTCCTTCATATCTTTCATAAATGAAGAAACTTCTGTCCCTAATCTGTCCCTCAAATCACACAGATAGAAAGTGTCCACACGCACAAGTAGACTTTATTCCCTTTCTCCAGGTCAATGCTGTTGGAAAATTCTCTCAACCAACTGATGATGGACAACAGCAAGTCATCCAAATGCTCAGTGGGGGTGGGTAAGATGGTTCTACTTTTAAAATGTTCGTGGCGCTGTACAGAAGTTGGAAATCACTCCATCTCTGTTAAAGACACTCCGTCTTCGCATCTCATCTGAAGAGCAAACAACTGAGAGCAGGACATCACATGGGCAATGCTATATCACTCCGATGGAAAAGTGAAGATAAATTCTCCTCTCTCATCGAGACCTGAACAAAGATTCAAACAAACCATTTGGGGGCAAATTGAGTGTTCAAAGTTCAAGTGAGAACTTTAACCTTTTTTTTCTTCTCTTCATTTTTGTTTCTTTTTTTTAATGCTCATATTTCTTTGAAAGACGTGTACAATCACATTTCCATTTTAAGGCCCTGTCAGGGAGTTTGCATAACAAACGTTAGGCAACCCCCTTTCTTACACTCCATTAACAAGCTGTAACATATAGCTGCAGGTTGCTATAATCTCATTAATATTTTGGAAACTTGAATATTGAGTATTTCTGAGCGCTCGTTCCCCATATGCCAGGCCACTTCTGCCATGCTGACTGGTTTCTTTCTCTCTATTATTAGCAATTAGCTTCTACCTTCCAAAGTCAGATCCAAGTATCCAAGATACTAGCAAAGGAATCAACTATGTGTGCAAGTTAAGCATGCTTAATATCACCCAAACAAACAAAGAGGCAGCATTTCTTAAAGTAATGAAGATAGATAAATCGGGTTAGTCCTTTGCGAAGCTGCTGATGCCTTCTTGAGTTTTATATACTTTAAGCAGTCTGCTTTATATTCTATGCCTCCTACCCCATCAACCACTTTAATTTGCGGAAGGTTTTGGCTCGCCACACTTTTGGAAACTTACTTGATTTCACGGAGAGCCGAAGGAAGATTATTTTTTGGCAAATGGGCAAGTTTGACACTTTCTTCATTTGACATTGCTAACTGGAGGTCTAGCTTGACCAAAAAAAAAAAAAGAAAGAAAGAAGGAATGGATGGCTTGCTCCCCCCCCTCTCTCTGTTTCCCCCCCCTCCATGCCTCCCTCCCCCCTCTCTCATTCTGAACCTGTTCAGGACTAGTTAGTTTCATGAGGCCTTCTGTTGAGTTTAGAGATTTTTACACCTGAACCAAGCAAAGTGGCTTGCCATCAAAGAATATCTTGTCATATTTCTCTCCTCTGCTCATTTGAAAATTCAGGATCAAAGATAATCAAGTGTCCGGACTGCTCCAAACCTCAGTCTGATCTGTAAGCGGACACACACACATCAGTTACAACCTAGACTTGTCCTTTGCATGCTAGGAAATGCAGTTACTTGATGAGTGCTGGCCACAGCCAGAGATGACCAGTAGCGGTTGCAGTACTTGCAGTTGTTTTTGTCTGGAGGGATAGGACACCATGTGGGGCAGATTACAAAAGAAAAGAAAGGTCAAAGTCTTCCTAGCAGCTTTTCTTAAAAAAACAAAACAAAAAAAAAAAAAACTCTACAATCCTCACCCCACCCAAGTCCCAAGACCCTTCAGAGTTCCTTCTTCCTTCCTTCCTCCCTTCTTCCCTTCCTTCCTCCCTTCCTCCCTTCTTCCTTCCTTCCTTCCCTCCTTCCTTCCTTCCTTCCTTCTTCCTTCCTTCCTTCCTTTCCTCCTTCCTTCCTTCCTTCTTCCTCCCTTCCTTCCCTCCTTCCCTCCTTCCTTGCCCCTAACCAGAAAAAAAAAAGGAGAATAGGTTAATTTCCAGGCAGCAGAGGAGAGACAAGGGGATTTTGGAAGTTGCAGGAAGATAAAGCGAAGGACCAGGAAGCGAGAAGCGCGGGGGCCGTTCGCGGTAATGTGAGCGTTTCTTAATTAGAGAAGGCTGGCAGCGGCTCCTGGCCGCGGCGCAGCGCGTCTGGAGCGGAGCACGCGCTGTCAGCTGGTGAGCGCGCTCTTCTTTCAGGCCGCTCCCGGGGGAGCTGCAGTCCCATCACCCCTCCCCGGGC